GTCTCTACGGATATCCCCGTCTCTGTGCGAGTTTGTTTATTATGTCCTCGTCTGCCTTTGGTTTATTTCGTTTTATTTTGTTTTGTTGTTTTACTGGCACGTACTGCTGACCCTTGGGGTCCTTCCGGCAGGCTACCCCCCAGGCTGGTGGTGCGCACGTTCCACTATTTATTTATTTGTTTGTTTCTGATTCTTTTGTTTTCTTGTATTTTATCGCTCTGCTAACCCTTGGGGTCCATTTTATTTCGGTGTACCTTTTCTAGGTACGTTAGCCTGTGACCACGGACATTGACCGAGTCAAGTGCTGGATTAGTACGGAGAGATTGAGACAGAAGGAGGTACTGGATAGAGAGACCGGGATGGTTTTTAATGTGAAGACAACAACAACAACATATCGGGCACCTGCACTATTCAGAATAGTGCGTCAATAGTGCAGGTTCGGCGCTATTGAGGTTTTGAGTATATTATACCTCAATAGTGCAGGCCGGCACTATTGAGGAGATGCTTGATTTCATGATGTTGTAGCGCTCATCATGCGTCGCGGGGCTATGAGAGTACGAAATTGATCGAATTACAGTAGTGCTGGGCCCTGTTCTAGCGTGGGTGTGGGCAGGCTGTCCCGCGACCCGTGTGGTTCCCCCCCGTCGCACACACAGAGATGTAGAAAAATTACCTGCAACTTGAATCGTTACTTTCTTCCTGTCTCAGCACTCGTATCATACTACTGCACACCGTGATCTGTCGCATGAACCAATCCTTCAACATTAAGTGGACGAAGCCATATCTCAGTCCTCGCCGCCCTCGTTCAATGTTGCAAGATAAAAAGAAAAATCACGCCAGGAACCGCACTACAAGAAAACAACCACTAGTCTACTGCTACAGCTTTAGACTATATGTAACCCCGCCCTCACTACGTCGCGAAAAATTCTCATGTCTGCCTGGCGCATCCATCAACTTGAGAATCTCAAGCTTCGTGTTGTTGTCCGGCCGCGCACGAGAAGAACCAGATCCCTTCTTACTCCCCGCCTTTGTTTTCTTCGGCGTGCGTTTAGATGGATGGTCCCGCCCCAGCACCCTCAGCTGGTTTGTTGTTTGTTGTTGTTTCTCACATTAATTAGCTCTATAGACTAGTCCACCAAAAATGGGGAGCCTGTGGTCTCAAAACCCGGCACATACGACGCCGCGGGGAAACGAAACAGGCGTCGGAAAGCAACCACCCACAATGCTACTCGCTATCTATGGAGAAGACGAGACACCTGGCTAGCCACTGCAAAAGACAAAGGGAACATCCCTGTTGGTGCATGCGATCCCCAACGGAGTGGCAGGCCATAGTCTACCCCATCCATATGGATCTCATCCGCGGAAGATAGCAACAGTGGGAGACCACTCCTCCGCAAGAACATAGTCACCATATATGCTATTGTGAACTTGTCGAATGGTCTGAAATATGTTG